GGAGGAGGAGGAGGAGGAGGACTGTGGGGTCCCTGGTTTCTCTGAGCCTGGTGGTGTCCTTACAGACGTTTCATGACCCAGCTAGGGAACGTCATCAGGGGTAGAAGGGGAAGGTGTTTGCAAAGAGGAGGAGGAGGAAGAGGAAGAGAAGGAGGACTGTAGGGTCCCTGGTCTCTGTGAGCTTGGTGGTGTTCTTGCAGACGTTTCACGACCCAGCTAGGTAACATCATCAGTGCTATACAGGAAGGGGGAGGAGAAGGAGAAGAAAGAGGAGGACTATGGGGTCCTTGGTGCTCTCTGAGGTGTGTTGTTTTCTTGCACCTGTTTCGTGACCCAGCCAGGTAACATCATCAGTGCTAGAAGGGAGTGGGGTATGTGGAGGAGGAGGAGGAGGAGGAGGAGGAGGAGGAGGAGGAGGAGGAAAATGACTGTGGGGTTCTTGATGCTCTCTGAGCTGGGTTGTTTTCTTGCAAGCGTTTCATGACCCAGCTAGGGAACATCATCAGGGGTAGAAGGGGAAGGTGTTTGCGAGGAGGTGGAGGAAGAGGAGGAGGAAAATTGTGGGGTACTTGGTGCTTTCAGAACTTGATTGTTTTCTTGTAGATGTTTCATGACCCAGCTAGGGAACATCATCAGTGCTAGAAGGGGAAGGTGTTTGCAAAGAGGAAGAGGAGGAGGAGGAGGAGGAGGAGGAAAATTGTGGGGTCCTTGCTGCTTTCTGAATTTGGTTGTTTTCCTGAAAAACATTTCATGACCCAGCTAGGTAACATCATCAGTTCTTTCCTTGAGAAGAACCGGAGGAAAAGCACTGGTTTGTGGGGTGGGGGAAAAAAGTGGGCAAAAACCAAACATACCCCAGGAAAGATCTGCAGAACTTATTTTACCTTCAAAGTAGAGGCTGGCGACTGGGCAAATGTAGAAGACGGACAGCCACAGAGAAACTATAGGAGAAGAAAGGGAAAATGAAACCACCAAGGAAAAAACACGAGAGAGAAAGGAGAGAGGAGAAAATAAAAAGGGAGCAGGGAGCGTCTGGGATTCTTCCCCGTCGATCGAAAGAAGGGGGCGAGTTAAACAGAAACAGGGGGTGAAGTCGGCCACGTGAAGCCTCTGTGAAGAACCTACTCGAGGAGGTCTCTTGGCGTTTGTTTGCATTTCTGGAGTCTCCCTCCTGACCAAAATGGCTCCAAAAAAGGGAGAAATGGCCACCATCCTGGTGCAACTGATGCTAACCTGTTTCCCCAAAATACGATCTACCCTGAAAGTAAGCCCTAGCTTGATTTTTACACGTGAGCCCAATATAAGCCCTACCTCCCCCAAAATAAGCCCTAATGAAGATCCCACCCACTCCAGAGTAGACAGATAAAAATTAAGCTAGGGTGGGGATGAGGAGTGGGTGGAGCTGCCCTACTACTTACCTTTGGACAGGTGTAGCCGGGCCTCGCACACCCCGACACCTGCCTGGCTGGTCCATTTCTTCTGCAGCTGGCAAGGCTTTCCTGAAGGCCTCTGTAGCTGATAACAAAGCTCAGGATCGATCCAAAGGTCTGTTATATCGGCTGCAGAGGCCTTCAGGAAAGCCATGGTCGCTGAAGGCCTCTGACAGCGAAAAGGAGGCCGGGGATGATGCGCGCAAGTGAGGTTAGTCAGTGGATGACGTCCCCCGAAAATAAGACCTGGTGCCTTTTTTTGGTGGCAAAAAGATATAAGGCAGGGTCTTATTTTGGGGGGTATTTGCAATGGTGTGATGGAAGGGTTGAGCTGCCTTTTTGTGACGGACAACAGGCACCCGTTTGATCGAACCAAGGAGTCCTTGATGCTTTCGGAGCTTCTTGCTGAGGTCTCATTACCCAAACGAGGTAACACCCTTGGCTTAGCACTGATGATGTTACCTAGTTGGGCGATGCAACGTCTGCAAGAAAATCATCCCGCTCAGAGAGCGCCAAGGACTCCTCACTTCAGTTCTGAGCTACAAATATTCTCCGTTTTTTTGATTGGACTGTTGAGGCCGCCATCTTGGCACACTATAACAACACAAGCACTTAGACTTATATACCACTCCGTGATCCTTACAGCACTCTCGCTATTTCACAATTCCACAAGTCTGAAAAGTTGCCAAGTTTGGGGACCCCTGCTTCAGAGAGTAGATGGCCCTAAAATCCTGGTTATATAGCCTTTCCTAATGCCCTAAAAACCCGGTTATATTCTTAAGCCTGAGTTACTGACTATGTCAAGGGCTCCATTCTTAGCTGTACTACTAACTGGCTAAGTATTTACGTGTATTTAGTTTGGATGTTTCTGTTGTTCTTTTTATTGTTTCTATTGTTTTAAGATGTTTTTAGTATTTTAGTTGTAATATATGTGTATTTTTGAATTGTAACTCACCCAGACTGAGATGGGCAGCTGTAGAAATGGAATGGAATGGGATGGATGGATGGATGGATGGATAGATGGATAGAATGGTGAGTGAGTGAATGAGTGAGTGAGTGAGTGAACTGAATCTCCATCATGGATGGAGTTGTGCCAACTGCTTTCTGCCAAATAAGAAATGGACTAACATTTTATCAGGAAAATAAGCTTTGAAACAGGCTACACGTCAGAAAACACGGAGAGTTAGGTCAGCTGGTCAGAGGAAAGGAAAGCTTAAGGGAATAAATAAAAGGTGACGTGAAAACCACTTCAAGCAGCAGCTCCATTGCGAGTGACTTCCTAAATTAAGGGCCTCTAAAGTTTTTTTTTAAAAAATCATATGCCTTAAAAAAAAATGGAGCGCTCCCAATATGAGTATGATTTAATTTATAAATGATATATACGTAGATCATGGATTACTTAACTGGAGGATCCCAAACCATCTTGGCTGAAGAACGGTTTATCAGATAACGGATAACAGTTAATCAGAGTTGGAAGGGACCTTGTAGGTCATCTAGTCCAACCCCCTGCCCAAGCGGGAGACCCTACACCATTTCTGACAGATGGGGAGTCTAATCTCTTCATGAAAGCCTCCAGTGATGATGAAGCTCCCACAACTTCCGAGGGCAACTTCTGTTCCATGGGTTGGTTGTTCTCACTGTCAGAAAATTCCTCCTTATTTCCAGGTTGAATCTCTCCTTGTTCAGTTTCCATCCATTATTCCTTGTCTGGCCTTTGGGGGCGTTGGAAAACAGCTTGACCTCCTTCCTCCCTGTGGCAGCGCCTCAAATATTGGAAGATGCTCTCCTGTCTCCCCTGGTCCTTCTCTTCCCTAGACTAGCCAGGCCCAGTTCCTGTAACTGTTCTTCACATGTTTTATCCAGAACTCACTCACCTTCCCTCCCTCCCTCTCTCTCTCCCCACTTGTCTGTCTCTGTGTGTGTGTGTCTATGTCTCTGTTTGTCTGTCTGTCTCTCTCTCTCGTCTCTGTTTCTGTCTCTCTCTGTGTGTCTCTGTCTCTCTCTCTCTCCGAAAATACCAGAAGTGACGAAACGGGGCTAGTTTTCGGCCTGCAAAGTCTGCAGAAGCCTGCCTCGAACCAGCCGAAAATCAGCTGTGAGGCGCAGCGCAGGTAAGGGGGCAGCGGGGGTGAGGTGGGTGGGGATTGCACGCACATGCCTCGAGGGCGTGGGGGGAGGCGCGCATAGCCTTCTGGGTGCTGGCACATGAGGGCGAGGGTGCAAGCATGCGCACAATTTTGGGCACAGGAGTCCAAAAAGGTTAGCCACCGTTGCCCTATTTCAACTCTGCTGTGCATATGCAGCTGGTCTTTGGGCCTCTGCCACGCATGTGGGGTGGGAGGCACATGCATGGGGGATGCGCACGCATGCACAGGGTGGGGCACATGAATGGCGGCGGGGCATAGGTGTGGTCACATGCGCGCATTGCATTTGGGGGGATGCGCACGCATGCTTTGGGCTCTCGGTGCCGAAAAGGTTAGCCGTCACTGGACTAGAACCAACAAGATATCCCAGGCTTAAATTAAGCAGTGACCAAGCTCCGTGAATTACAAGGGGTCTATTTGAAGATAACCACTTCACCTCTGCTTCGACCCACCGCCGTGAATGTTTGAGATACTTTACCATGGCTACATCAGCCTGGAAAATCTGTTTGATGAATTTGTTCCTTGAAGAATGGACCAACTGGATAATATCTCCATGAAGAGTATCTCGGTTTTTCTCCAGAAAGCCTGAGTGAGAGAAACCAGAAGCAGTTGAAAAAAGAATGTTATTTATTTATTATTATACATATATGAAGAAACAAGACTGTAAGGAGCCCAAGGGGCGTGGCACAAAGGCAACACAATCACATAAGTAAGAAAGTAAGTCCCTTTAACACCTCCAACTTTGCCCCCAATGTCCAGTTATCTTCGGCTAGAGAAAAAAAAAACTCTCCCAAGAACAGTCTTTTAAGTAGAGGAAATTCAGTCCGAAAACGAAGTACATACAAACTGTAACTAAAAATCCAAACAAACCACGCTGCAGCAATTCATTTGACAGGGCAGGAGAAGGAATTGCAGACTTGAAAGGCCAATAAAACACACGCAGTTTGGAAGACGGCAGGAACCCAGATAAGCCTCGATGATACCAGATAACACACGATTTGCTTCCAACAAGTTGCTGTGTACAAACTCCCTTTTTAAACACTGTGTTCCCAGCTGTAGCTAATGAAGGGAATCAGGACCCTTTCCTTCCCCGTAAGCCATGCAATTCACGTTGCTCCCCTTCTCTGTTCCTCCCTGCATGACCTAGGATGAAGAGGGAGTGGCCCTGGGCCTTTTTCTGAATTCCCTCTCCCTTTTTTTTACCTCTCCCCTGCTCTGCCCAGCCGGACTTTGCCCTTCCCCAGTTTCTTCCACGGCCAACGGAGCCACACACCCATTCCCTATCAGCTGCTTGGCCTCCCCCTCAGAATCAGATTCCAACAGGGGGATGACACAGACATCCTGCGATCTCTGGAACTAAAATTACATTTATTATACTTACTAAGCTTTCATCAGCCTCTGTTGACATCATCAGAGTATTAAACTACCATTACGGAGATCTATGCCTTTATATATCATTAATCAATTTAGCCTTTGCATGTGTAATAGGCCCTCTGACCAACATGACTGAAGCAAAAACAACAGGTGGGAGGCAGTTGGAAGGGCCTATTATGCATTGGAAGGGCTAAATTGATTAATGATATATAAAGGCATAGATCTCTGTAATGGTAGCTTAATACTCTGATGATGTCAACAGAGGCTGATGAAAGTAAGTACAATGAATGTAATTTTAGTTCCAGAGATCGCGGGAAGTAAACGTAGTCACCGAACCAGTAATAACACCGGTTGAATCCCCCCCCTGCTCCACCCCCCCCCTCCAAAACGTACCTTTTGTTTCATAGTAGACAACGCCGGCAAAATGGTTGATGCCAAAGTGAGTGTCGTGGTTGTTTTTCGGTGGGATGTAATTGATGTTCAGTTTGTGCTGAGAATTCAGCTTGTGGAGCATGGTGGCATCTGTTCCCTGCAATCGGTCAAAACGGGGAATTAGGGTTTCTATCATCGAAAAGCAGCTTTCATTTGCAGCTCTGACATCACCGATCTGCAGCGGAAACATCTAACAGGATAACCGAGTCGGAAGGGACCTTGGAGGTCATCTAGCCATGGTTGCACAGGGGTTAGAATGCGGTACCACAGGCTAACTCACTGCACATGGGAGTTCGATCCTGGCTGGCTTAAGGTTGACTCGGCCTTCCATCCTTTCGAGGTGGGTAAAATGAGGACCCAGATTGTTGGGGGCAAAAGGCTGACTCTGTAAACTGCTTAGAGAGGGATGGAAAGCACTATAAAGTGGTATATAAGTCTAAGTGATATTGGGAGGGAAGGAAGGAAGGAAAGGAAGAGGAAAGGAGGGAGGGAGGAAGGAAGGAAGGAGGAAAGGAAGGAAGAAAGGAAGGAAGGAAGGAAGGGGCAATTGGCTGACTCTAAACTGCTTA